GTCAGTGATTAGGTTATTCTTTTGGGATGTGAGAGACCTGGGTTCAAATCTTTGAAACAGCTCAGGGAGAGAGCTTCCTAGATGAATGCTCTAACCACAGGGAATAATGGGGTGGATGGATATGTTTTTATTTTTCTCCAGGTTTTTTTTTTTGTACATGGCTCTATCTGGTCAGGGTACTCTAAGAATGGCTAATGTATTGGTTTCTGCAGGCGTAGGTGGTAGGAGAATGGCTGCTAGGATTTAGGCATGAGGTAAGGCTCTAAGTAGTTCAGCAGTATCAGAACTTGAGGATTTTGCACATGTACACCAGCAGACATCTAGTGAGGGGAATTAGATGACACCTGAGCACAGTTTCTGAGGTCTCAAAGCCTAAATGTTGAATTGAAAGATCTAAGTCATGTATAGTTCCAGTCTTTTGTATGTGTTGAGAGAGCTTGAGCAAATAAGGCCTTTCTGAGAGACAAATAGCTTGTCATACTATCATGTAGCCATTTCTAATTTGTATGGCTGAATAGTTTAGAAGCCAGAACATTTTATGTTGCACTTATTTATATACCTTTGGATGGCAGACTTGAAACAAAATGTCTTTTAGATATTACTTTAGGATTATCACTCTGGGATTAATCTCAAACTACAGGGTTGCTAGGTTGTGCTGCTAGGTAACTACTGCATCAGAGAGGTTTCTGTAAGATTTGGTATCTCTGGGGGATTGCAGGATGAATCATGCTATGGCTCTGTGTCTTTGTGTCTAAGGGAAAGGTGTATGTGGAGGTGGCCAATTAGGTAAGCTAGTTTAGTTAATTGAAAGCAATCGTTTTATATAGAACAATCAAGTCCTAAAATGTCCCTTAATTTCCTTACAACAATTTTAAATTATGCTGCTTGTAACATTTTAAAAAGGACTGACTGCCTCTCCAACAGGGATGATTGCCATATTCACCACTCCCAGTAGTAAATATTTCATGAATAATTGATGACATTTCATAAATATGCAGATGAAAAGTAGTGAATGTTTGGGGTTTTCTCCTGGGCCCTTATTAATTGTGAACCATCATGTTAACTGCTGCTGTTGATTCCGAGAGAGCAAAAGGATGTTTGTTTGAAAGTTAAATATTTGCTATAATTATAAAATGCATTAACTGGTGGGATATTGACTTTGGCATGTATGCTTGAAAAAAGCTTCACAAGCTGTTTAAATGACTTTAATATTGTATATTATCTAAAGATATGCTTTCTGCAGACTCAAAAACCAAATGTTGCGTTAAAATATAAACAAACAATCATATTTACTGATAATTCACACGTGTATTCTCAGATGTAGTTCTTAAATAAGGACAAAGCAGATTGCATTTTTTGGGATTCAGTAGTGCAGATCATTTAAAGCTGTGCTACTTGAGAAATTATACATTAGGACAAACTAAGCAGCATCCAGCATATGCATATGTCACGTAGATGATTTGATGTTTCAGGAGCTGGATGAATAAGGAATTATAAAAGGTATCTGCTGCATTCAGTCAACAATATCATAGTTATAGCAACAAAGCTGAGATTGTTTACTGAACAGGATTCAAGGATAATTTTGCCCTAAAATTGAATTATCTGTATACAGCCAGATTCTGATTGCTCAAATCAGATTCTGGTTCAAATGTTGAAAATGGTCAGAATTTCTATACCCTCTAATCCCACTCTGTTTTTCTACAGATAACTATACCTATACGATCTTGATTTTTAAATGGTTAATTTTCAGTATGAGATGTCTTTGGAGCACTTAAAGCAATGAAAGGGAAAATAGGGAGTTAGCTCTTCACCTCTGGAAAGCCACTTTAATTGTGTTACATTTAGAAGTATCTCATCTAGTCTCCAGCAAATCGACCACAGTACAAAGCCAGTAGTAATTCAGCCTGGCTGTCTGTCTCTGCTCAGAAGAGAGCTGCAATCAGCTGAGAGAGAGAGAGAGAGAGGAAGAAGCCACTGTAGGTTAGAACTGAGATGTATTGATGCCAGAGGTGAAACCCTAGTTCTGTTGAAGTCAGCGGTAACATACTTATTGGTTTCTCTGGGGGGCAGGATTTCATATTAGGTGCCTGATCTTGCATCATTTTCATATGATGATACACATATGGTCACTTGCTCACAAGCACAGTTTCAGAAACAGCAAGGTACCTTAGAGCACCAATGTGAGATCATGCTTTTACCTCTGGGGAAAGGAACCTGAACAGGGAAACACTTGTATGTATTCTGTAAGCAAATATTTCAGTTTGCCTATAAATTTCAAGTCTTTTTAAATCTTGCAGTATGTTTTATAAGCCACATGGTGATTCAAAGGCAAATCAATTCTTAGATTATCCTTTACATCTGTGTTGTTGCCACTAGGATTCCTTTTACCAGAGATGCCCAAGGATTGACACAGCCCCTCATCTGATTTGGTATCGTGTACTTTAATAGTAACCCCTATGTTTTATTATAAGTTTCCTCTCTGTAATATGACCTGGCAAATGGTTCCTTCAGACGTTGCAACTGTGACCTTCAGGGGTGCCGGCCTCAGATCCTCTGCTGGGTGTGGGGGATGTTAGTTTCTGGAATCCCCGTTGTTCGAACAAGAATTCCAAGGTTGCTTCTGTCTCCCCAGGGTGGCAACGCACAACTCACACTGTCTCTGTGTTTGTCCACTACTTTTGTAACTTCCTCACCTCAAATTGTTCAATCCTCAAGTTTCTTCCTCATCTTTTTAGATGAGGTACTCCAATCCTATTCTGTTTTTGGTTTCCTTTCCTTTTAGGGAAACTACTGTACCTGGTTAACCCACCATACCAATCACAGCACTCATGTTTCCCATAAGGCACTCTGGACAATTTAATTGGTTAGTTCCGGGCAGGCTTAAACTATGGGCAAGAGGCGTAGCATAGCTCAGTTTGCCCACTACATATGTATATGTCTAACTACAGATCCAAAGCCTGAAGCTTATTTGCAGTAAGACCATATGGTACAAGCCATGTAATTTCACATAACAAACTGCTGTTTAAATGTCTACAAGGAGTTATGGAAAAGTAGTCACACCCTCTGAAAAATAACTTTCCTTTTTACAAATGCTGCCATTTGGCACTTTGGGCTTCTGTTTAATTAAATTATTTTAATAGTTTGGAGAAGTGTATGTAGGTGAAATTATATAAATGTTTCCTTATTAATTTAAATATGTCAGCAGTACACATTGTTGATTGAAGCCTTTTTACCAGGTTCCTATAGCTGAAAAAATGACTACAGAGAGAAAAATATTTCTGTATTCTTTTTTGTTTGCTTCCTTGCCATATTGGTCAGCACTTTGGTCCCAAATCAGCAAGTCTCATGGGATGGTAATCCCATTCCTATTCAGTAGAACACTTACTTAAAGATAGGCATTAGCTTAAATGCATTTGGGCTCACTTAGGGCTGAAACTGAGGCTT